GAATGACCCGTGAGAGCGCTTTCATAGATACACGTCGATGTGGTTTTCACTGGGGCATTGTACTCAAGAGGCTCAGAATGGCTCCCCTCAATATCTAACACACATTCTGGTTTGTAAAGAGATGAGCAGCAGGAGCTCTGAGTGTGGTACAGCAGTACAGACCAGTGTTTGGCTGTTTTATGAACCTATATTAGGTTGGATAATTGTGCACCAAGCCCTCAAATTATCTACATCATTGTACAAGCCTTCATAAATTTTTGCGGTATTTCTACTATTTTACTGAGGGAGTGTAGCCCCAAAAACAGTGGAGCTGGAACTCGGCAGAGCATTTGTGTGGCCCGAGTGGCACGCGAAAGGGCACGCGTCGATTAAGTAATCTGGGACCCCGAGAACCTGTCAACGTTCCTGCGAAGGTCGAGGACGCAAGCCGAAGAGCGAATCCTGAAATTAGACCTGATACACCAGGGCAACCGTATCTGTGGGCTGGGCAATATACTCTGTTGGACGTTGTGCGTCGAGTGCAGTCCAGGACACTGGATCGAGGTAGATTAGATTAGATGTACCGAGATCGAGGACAAACGATGTACATACTCCGACCTCCCAAAAGGGGAATAAATCGTCTCTTGCCTTTCTGCTGTCACTGCGTGAGCTGTTTCCAACAGGTTATGGGCCGCGTGCAGTCCGAACGCGCTAAATCTTCACTTTGCTGTTAATGCTTATTGGACTTCACGCCTAAATAAACAACTCGCGCCAACGGAAACTTGATGACCGACCCAGCGGGCGGCCAAACGAGAAGTTCTTCCGCTACGTCTTCAACTTTTACTTCTGTTCCACTTCATACTGTACCGTTACCCGCCGGAATGGCTTTTAACCCTTTTTTAACTCCTGATCCTTCACGTTCTTACGTTACGCATAGAGCTCGTACAGCACCAATTTCTCACTTGCAAAATGACCCTCATTCTCGTTCCGATTCGTCACGATCGTTTGCCTCAGTACCGTTACCTTCGCAGTATAATCATTATTCCCAATCATTCCCCATTCAACCTTCTGTACCTGTAAACCCAGATATGTTTCAACATTCCAATCAATTCCCCTCGCAGAATCATACTGTAGCACCAGATTCACATTCGTTCGAACAAGGACTGTTTCCGAATTCTTTTATTCCTCATGCAGACGACAATACTTCCTCAACTGATTCTTTTATTACTATAGTAGAACAATTACCACCACTATCGCAGACGACAACTCCCCAACCTGCCGCTT